TATTGAAAAAAAACCAACGCGCAACATAGTATCTACTTTTTTCGGCTATTCCGCAGATGCTGTTGAAGAAGAAGTTGAGCGGCTTTCTCGGCAGCTGACAAGACGCAAGCCAGAGGAGGTGAAGCCAGAGTTCGACAACGCCCAAAAAAGTATGCATTTACTTCCCGTATTGCGAAAGCATATGCGATCTGGCTCTCTCCCCACTACTTACCGCAAAAATCTGATGGGCTCACTAGCAAAGCTAGTTCCCATTCCGACTAGCACGGCAGAGGTGGAAAGGGGATTTTCTATCTACTCTGTTATCAGAACGCAACGCAGAACTCGTACAACGGTGGAGCATCTAAGCAATTACTTAAGATTTGTCAACCTTCTACTGAACATATTGTTATCTAAAAACTTCATTTAAAGGATTGCTATAAGTGGTCCAGACAGGCTGTCATCGTATGACTTTTGAAATATCCTAAAAGATGGTATGAAGAAACTAGTCAGCTACCTGCTGACTTCCTGGTGCTACCAGAGGGCCAGGAAAAAAACACAAAAGAGCTTAGAAGGAGAAAAACGTTTCAAATCTATTTTCGACTCAGAACGCTTTTTGACGCAATTCTACTTCTACTCCGATGATCTTTTGACAGAAGGAGAAGATCTTTCAGGCAGCGAATTTGTTGTCTCTGACGTTAGCGATAGTGATATTGTTGATGATGACGTGCAGAAATTGTAAGTTGTTCCTAACTTGTACATCTTTTGGGATACCTTATTGCTTTCGTTTTTTGTCGATGCAATGAAATAGGAGCACAGATCTTTATAAAGTCAATTTTTTTGATTTATTAGGTTGAACCGAAAGTTCTTTCGCACCAAATTCGAAAATTCATAACTTCTGAAATTTCCAGCCTATTAAAACGCTCTTATTTTTTTCTGAGGGAGTAAGTCATGCTCTTTATAACGGCTTCTTAGATGCTTGCTAATGATCTGTTGCATAGATAGGAGCTGTAGAAGAAAATTAGTCAAAATTCGAATTTTCTATGTAGGGTCATAAAAAATCGAAAACTTGCAACAAAAATCGGAGCAGTCGGTATTGTAGGTTCTTTCACCAGCTCTTTCTAACGGTGCAAAGTTTGCGCCGATTGAGCGTCTCTATGAAAAGTTACAATTTCCCTGAAAAATGCCAAAATAAACCAAAATCATCCTTTTGTATTGCTTGCTCGAAAATCGTAACTTTTCGTAGAGACGTTCAATCTGCGCAAACTTTGCACAGTTAGAAAGAGCTGGTGAAAAAACCTACAGTACCGACTGCTCCGATTTTTGTTGCAAGTTTCCGATTTTTTATGTCCCTACACAGAAAATTCAATTTTTGACCAATTTTCTTCTACCGCTCCTATCTGTGCAATGGATGATCATTAATAAGCAATTGATGGTCTTTATAAAGAGCATGACCTACTCTTTCATATTAAAATAAGAGCGGTCCAATCGGTTGAAAAATTCAGAAATTATGAATTTTTGGATTCGGTGCGAAAGAACTTCCGGTTCAACCTAATATTATTTTTTTTTAATTCTAGAGAGAAATTTTTTTCAATTTGTACCTAAATAAGGTACAAATTAGAGCACTTCATACCACGCTTTTTTACCTTTTTTCTCTCTCTCACCCCCCCCCCCCCAGGCTTACATACCCCCTTCACCTGGAAGGTCGGAAACAGCCGAGACCCCCTTCACCTGGGGAGAGCCCGGCTCCCCCTATCGCACCTATGGCCCAAAGTGTATGTGTGCCAAGTTTGGTCCCGATCGGTTCAGAAATGGAATTTTCTATTCGGAACATACGTACATACATACAGACAGACATACAGACATACAAACAGACATTCAGCTTTATATATAAGATCTTATATATGAAGCTGAATGTCTGTTTGTAAGTGTGTCTGTATAGGCTACTGCATGACGAAGGCGCAATATCTTTGGGCGCGAACGCGGCTTTATTAGCCACAGAGCGCATGAGGCGCAGGATTTACAACGGTGAGGATACGCGCGCGTGGCGTTCGCGCCCGCGCAACTTATACCGCTTCTGCGCCTTCGTCATGCAGTAGCCTTTATGGATGTATGTCTGTATGTCTGTATGTACGTATGTTCCGAACAGAAATTTTTATTTCTGAACCGATCCGGACCAAACTTGGCACACTTACACTTTGGGGCCCGGCAGGTGTCCTAGGGCACTTTTCGTCATCGATCGATATCGATTTTATCCATTTTTATCGATTTTTTGCAGAGTTCACCTACGGGGCTGGTGAGCATGGGGAATCCACGGGGAATACAATATTGGTTTTCAATATTATCGATTACTTTTATCGATTTTATCGATTTTTTTGTATTTGACCTGCGGGGCTGGGAGTTTGCATAGGGGGGGGGTAATCGAGCATGCTGATTGCGAGTACAATATTAATTTGGCGTTATTCGGCTATCCGGGCCCCAAATTTTTTTTGTTGTAGAGCTTGCCCAAACTTCGTTCATAAGGGTTATCTTAATGCTGACTACAGGTATCACATTTTCTCCGCAGAACGTCTCCCCGTGTGGTTACGATAGGTGTACGGTAGAAGTCAAAATCATGAAATTGGCTGGTCGGTCCAGACGGCTTATTCGACATGCCTGATTACGAATATCATACTCACTCTGCATATTCGAACCGTTCCACAGGGGTTATGGTGGTTATACGGTATGGGATCGTGAACATAGATTTTCTTTAAACTTCGTCTAGGGTGGTCCTTTAGCGCGCTTAACATGAATTTCATGCTGACTTCGCAGAATAGTGCATTTTCTTGGGTTACGGTGGGTGTAGATGGGGGTCGAAGTCCCAGATTTGCTTAAAACCTTACCTGCACGGTTCACAAGTATACTGCTTATGAATATGATGCTTGCTCGCTGTCATAACGCATTATGAAATTATGGTGAGTTGCAAGGTTTGCAATATCTGGGATCTGCAAGGTTTGCAGATCCCAGATATTCACGAAATGGGGAAACGGTTGTTTTGTATGGCGGTCTCCAGCGCCGTCCTGATAGCCTGTCCCAACGTGTAACGCACTCGGCAAATCTCCCTCCCCTATTTTTGCTTAGGCAAAAGCGCCGACGGGTGTATCGCACGCGGCAGTGGTCCTATAAGGAAATAATTACGGTCATGGGAAACTTTTATACCACACGAATTGCCGTTATCCCTGGGGATTGAGCACGATATTCTTGAATCAGCACTTTAGTCAATCCTGCCAAGGTTTCAGGCAGGTTCATGATTTTTTCGCGCTTCCACGCGAAATGACTACTTAATTCGTCATCATCGGCTTGAATAACCCCCACATACCGAGTTTGAGCAAGACCCAACACAAAAGCATTCTAGACTCGGATAGCCGAATAACGCCATCGGTTTTTAAAATTATCCTTACTTTTATCGATTTTATTGTTTTTTCTTTTGCAAAGTTTGAGCTACGAGGGTGGGAGGGGGGGGGGGGATTGATGAGGAAAGTAGGTGAGCATACTGATTACTAACACAGCGGGAGTAGGGAATTGCAGGTAGAATTGGGCACAGGTAAAGGTGTACAGGGATAGAAATGGAACCTTTATCGTTTTTGACAGGGCCGGGCGGAGCCGGGTAAGCCAGCTAGTGTCTTATATGGGTGCCCCAATATTTGGAAACCTCAGAATTCGCTAAAGTTTGATCCACACCGGATATTCGACATGCTGGTATGAAAATGACGAGAAGGCTGGGAGGGGGGGGGGGTTGATGAGGAAAGTAGGTGAGCATACTGATTACTAACACAGCGGGAGTAGGGAATTGCAGGTAGAATTGGGCACAGGTGAAGGTGTACAGGGATAGAAATGGAACCTTTATCGTTTTTGACAGGGCCGGGCGGAGCCGGGTAAGCCAGCTAGTGTCTTATATGGGTGCCCCAATATTTGGAAACCTCAGAATTCGCTAAAGTTTGATCCACACCGGATATTCGACATGCTGGTATGAAAATGACGAGAAGGCTGGGGGGGGGATCTATTGAGACACTCAGCGGAGCCGAGGGGTCGTGTGCCACAGCCTTTGCTCGACCCCATGACTCGACGTCTCTAAGACGCAACTGCACACCAGATGTGGTGTATTTCAAATGTGTCTTTTGTGAAAATCTCATTTCCTTCCAGAACGCTTTGGATGTTCCTTGTGAAGCAGTTTACTGACTTTTTTCTATTAACATTGTGCGGACTTGCCAGGTTTACTCGAAGAGGAACTCATCAGAAAGCAGAGAAAGCGAACGTACTATACCGCATTGAACAAGAAGGCGTCTGCATTCGAGACTTTCTTCGAGTATTTCTTCGAGTGCCTTAAGCAGTCGTTTTTGTCCATATACTGCGCATTAAACTCCAAAAATCACAAAGGTTGCAAAAACCTACTGAACACATTGGTATCGAGTGTGAATCAAATGAATAAATATCTTGAAGCACTATCTGTCAATTTTAGCAAGATGAAACAGTGACTCGAATGTGTTCTACATTTGGAACATACAAACTGATTCCTAAAAGTATGCTCTCAATTTTGGTGCGACTCTTTTTCAACGCAAGCCGATAATAGCGAAAGCGAAAATAATTTGCGACTTTTCAGGCTCAGACTAAATTTGTTGAAAAAATCAGTTTTGAGCGTTACAGAAAGTGCAACGCCTCCTATTCTACAAACTGATAATGATTTTGACTTCAGAAAGCAATAAACCTTGCACTGATTATCCTGATTTTTCGCAGCAGCATAAATTACTCTTGTAAAAAGATTATTGTGGGCCTTCATATGCTCTGCAAATGTTGATTACAAAATGAAGCACCTTCAGATTAGTACGTTTCAATCATAAATAATCACGTCTAAAGGTACCACTCTGTTTTTTTCAGATTCATAAATGAGCAAGAAGAGGCTTAGTTTGATATATGTGCTGTACATACACTTCTTCTGTCGGTGAAAACTCTAAACAAAGCATTTATAGTGAATTTTCTCGAAAAAGCTAGTCATCATCATCGTCCTGTTTTGAACGGAAATGATCAGCGATCCATCGTGTTTTCAGTTGTACTTCTTCTTGAGCGAGGTTGAAGCACATAGCAAGCAATGCCATACCAAATAGCAAGTACACAGAGGTTATGACCAACTTTTCTTGCGCATCTTTGTCATTCCCGACTGAAGCTCCCGGGAAGCGATCACCAAATCCTAAAACGAGGTTGAAGTGAAAGAAATATGAAAAACAACGCCTTCAGCTAATAGTTACCTATGGTTGTGAGTGAGATGTAGCAGAAGTAGAAACTCTCCAAAAATGTCCACCCTTCCCAAAGCTTGAACAAAATCGTACCTGTAAGGTTAGAAAGTTCACCCAAATCTATTAGAATAAAAGATTCGGCTTGTACCTGCTATCAAGTAAGCGAACATAGTGAGAACCACTAATGATAGTGGCACACTGATTTTTTCGAGCTGAGCTTGCGCCGTCTCACGAACTTCCAGCTGTTCCATTTCAACGCGAGCAGTGAGCAAATCTTCGACATCGGGACCTCCTACGATAGAAGATTGATGCGGGATAAGAGAAATAATGCATAACGGTAGCTCGCTCACCAACAGCAAATGAGTCAAGAGAAGAGTCGGCTTTCACACGATGAGCTCTAGTGAGCCGGGAGACGAGAGAGTTCGCTCGACGAATCTTTGCAGCCTAAAATTACTATATAAAATTTCTTTGATGCAATAAAATCTATAAAAAGCGAAAAATGGCTAATAATTCCCTGAATACAAAGTTATAGTGGAAAAGTAAATGTATTCATAAACCTGGTCCTCGCTGGTCTTCTAGGTCCCTACATATGTTTACGTTTTCCATCTATTGGGTCGTTCCAAAAGTTCGTTCGCACCATTTTCAAGAATAATTTCTGATTTTCCAATCAATTCGAATGTTTTTTATTTTTATGAAAGAGTAAATCATGCTCTTTACAAGGACATCTTATCTGCTTACTAGTGGTCATCTTTTGCACAGATAGAACGTTACAAGAAAAGTACTTAAATTTTGAATTTTCTGTGTAGGGTCACAAAAAATCTGAACTTGCAACAAAAATCGGAGCAGTCGCTATTGTAGGTTCTATCACCTGCTCTTTCCAACCGGCATTTGCCTCGAAAATCATAATATTTGAAGAGACGTTCAATCAGCACAAACTTTGCATACTTAAATAGAGCAGATGATAGTACTCATGATAGCGACTGCTCCGGTATTTATTGCAATCAGATCTCTTATGACCCTGCACAGAAAATTTAAAATTTGAGCAATTTTCTTCTACCGCTCCTATATATGCAACAGATGACTAGAGTAAGCAGCTGAGATGTTATTATAAAGAATATGATTAACTCTTTCACATAAATGTAAAAGCAGTTACATCGGTTGAAAAAATCAAAAATTATGAATTTTAAAAATGGTGCGAATGAGCTTTCGAAACGACCTAATACTACTACCCTTATTTCACGCATATAAAGCGCACTTTTTCAAATTTTCAAGGGAGTCGCTCAGCCGGTTCACTGCATCCGGAAAGAAATCCCTACATCGCACGATTCTCTCAAGCAATATACAGCACGTTATAGGGTCCTTTGGTTGTAAAGTCCTTTGGCGTATCTGGGCTGGTCGATTTTGGAAAAAAATCCACCGCGCCTTATACGCGTAAAATTAGGGTAATTTCTGCGACGGCTTCGTCAATTTCAGGAGCTTCACAAACTTTCGTAGTAGAAAAATTGTTTCTGGCGATTGAACTGTACATAGCGCTTAAGTGTCTAGCCACAACTACATCTTTTTTGTATTACGCCGTTAATTATTTGAGCATCAGTAGCTTTTCGAAGCTAAAAGCATAGCTGACATTGAGCCTTACACAAGAACGAGTGTTATTCATTACCGTCTAACTACAAAATTGCCCATTTTAGGCTTCTTTCAGGATAAATATTAACCTTTCTTTTCTTGTGCCAGAGAATTAGGCGATACTTCAAGCGAATCGATTGAGCGTATAAGAATCTGCAAACAAGTGATTACATATAAAAATTCTCAATATAATATAGCCAAAATGAGTCTAATTCTACCTGAATATCTTTGCTAGTACGTCACCAATATTTGTAAGGAAAAGCAGCATTAGCGGTATTCCTATGATTGCATACAGCATCGTCAACGTTTTGCCAATGTAGGTTTTAGCAGCCGTATTTCCATAACCTCAAAAGGTTTTGTAAAATGGGGACGGGAATGCAAATGAAAAATGCAGGAGAAAACAGGAGGGGAACAGCCACGTTTAGTCATTTATCTGTCTATTCCCATTTTCTCCTCGTCCTACTGGCTTATATCCCTTCTTCTCACCTCTGCCCTGCTCTGAAGATATTTCTTCACATCGACACCTACTTACCTATTGTTGTAATAACTGTGAGTGAGTACAAAAATGCTCCGGTAAATGTCCATTGCGCTGCCTGCTTGAATTCTTTGCCGTCATAGCCTTTGCGAATCGCTTGCATACATACCTTTTGGAATTTTTTGACCTAAACTACCCAGAGGATTAAAAGCTGGAGATGCAAGGAAAGCGAAACTGACTTCTTTATAAACAGATGATTTCCACTGCTCTTGATTGAGTCGATTGACTCGGAATGTAGCATTCCAAACGACATCAACTGCTCGACTCCGAGCTGCGGTCACGGAGGATTGTATCTGAAACAAATTCATCCAGTAATTCGCAAAGCAAATATTGATGTTATCAAAAGAGAAAAAAGGAAAGAAAAAATATAAGAATCTTCTCATTACGAGGCGACAACCCCAATAAAACAAAAGTTAAATCGCATTCGGTTTCTTCACCCCGAAACAGAGCTGAGTATTTTTAAGACTTGAATATGCTTTATATGCTTTCGAAATATGCTTTCGAAAGATAACAATCTCAACGTGGAAATCTGTGAAAATTTTTTTCTTTCTAAATAAATGTCTTTCGAAATTGATAGGAAGAAACCAAGCACCTGCTCTTCGTGCGGTCCCTCTACAGCCTGAAATATCACAGCACCAAGTAAGGCGTAGCCAACCACCTAAACGAAGTTTGGTTGGTAATTGAGCTTTCACTTTGGAAGTGCCATCTTGAAAAAGGCAATGCCAAGTGGGGAATTTGACAAATGATGGAGGAGAGATAGCTTTTGTGGTTACGTCTCGAGGGAGTTCTCCGCCAAGGATAATATCATCCTAGGATGTAAAGAACTATCTTTTTCATTGAATTAAATTAATATAGGTTCAAAGCAGAACTAATGCAATAATACTAGGTAGTACTCTCGAAGTCTGATTTTCAAAAATAGTGGGATCAGAAAAAATGCAAAAAAAGCATTTCAAGAAGACTCGAACAGTGGCAACTACCAAACCGCGATTTTTTTTGCTTCCGACATTCGCAAGAAATTCTAGGTTTGATATAGAAACTCCGCCACATTGTTTAGCTTCTCAAAGTTTCCTTAAAGTTTGAAACACTGGCGAAAGTCTCGAAGAGGGACTCACCAAAGCACATAGACCAATGTGTGAAAAGAAGAATGCTATGATCTTCTTAACGAGATTCACTACTCGCGTGACCTTCGAACGACGATGGCGACGACCCATGGCTGCTCAGCTATATATGTGCTAACGCGGAATCATCTACAAGACATAATATGTATATAAAAAGATTAGAAAAACCATCTGGATCGCCGCAAGGCCTCTTGTATTCGATGACCGATGGCCGGTACAGAACAATTTTTTTGAATAGTATAGCAGTTTCTCTGATAACAACATGCAACAAAAGGTAATGTACGGGAACCCATAAGTACATAAAATGGGTAAACTTTTATGCATTTATCTTGTTATATAGAAATTTAGGTCGTTCCGGAAGTAATGTCGCTTTTTCAAACGTACACCACATCTCGTAGAATAAAGGTGTGTGAGAGGTTCTGGTAGCATCCGATGCAGCATTTCATTCACTTTCGAATGGTTGTAACATCATTGCATGATAATCAATGAGCTTTTGAAAAATTATCAAAATCTGCGACCCATGCTTTTTGAGAAGGCCAAGTTTCACAATTTTTCTAAATTTTTATAACAATCCGCGGAAGAAGTCCAAGTAATGGATGGATAGATCAAACCCTACAGGAAACAGCACAACTTTATTCTACTTTCCAGAGCTCGTCATAATTTTTGTATAAATTTTTTGATGGAACCACCACATTTCAGCAGGCTCGTCTCGGACACAAATGCATCAAATGCCAATTAATCTTTGGATTTTGAAACTTACAAAGATGAATTATGGTTTGACACTAATTTTACAGACCAAGTGAGCATTCACCGCTTCAGATTAGCAAATTTCGAAAATTCCGAGTACAGCTTGGGGAGCCCTGAAAAACCTGAATTATGATGATTTTATCGCGGAAATCTTGATGAATCGAAAACTAAAAACGACTAGTAGAAAGAGGAGAAAAAGCTGCGTCGAATGACACCCGAACTGTTTGCCGGTTGTTGTTCTGTGAGGTTTGAGTTGATCAAATATGGAACTTGATGGCATTAAAAAATTGATTCCAGAAACTCTAAAAAGCAAGAGGAAAGGAAAAAATTACTCTGTGCCCTATAGAATTTCCTCTATCTACCTGTCACTTGTTCTTCTTTTGAAAATAGGTACAAAAATTGAGAAAATCAGCAGAATTTGACCATGGCAAAAAGCATGAGTCGCAGACTTTGGAAATTTTTCGGGAGGTCATTGAATATTCTACAACGATATTACAGCCATTAGAAAGGGGATGAAATGCTGCATTGAATGCTCCTAAGACCTCTTGAAAATCTTGATTCCGTGAAATGTGGCGTTTGTTTGAATAAAGCGACATTACTTTTGGAACGACCTAATACTTCAGTTCACATAAATCTAGCGTAAGCCCCAAATCTACAAAGCACTTAGCTTTTTGATATGATAAAAGGAATTTCGACTGATTAGGTCATAAAGTGAATCCAGGTGGCAATAGTGTGTCCCTATTTCTATACATCTTAAGCCAATAAAGATATGGCCCCTTTTTTGCAACTTTTTTATGCAGTAAATCGATGAGCTTGAAAGAAACAAGGACTGAGCAAGCATGATATGTCATGCAATTGAATAATTACTGACGCTCTGGTTTATGGAGAGATACCACTACTTTGCTGCCTTTAATTCAAGAATATCAAGATATACAGCAATTTGAATTGCATTCGAGTTAGACGTACCCCATTCGAAGCAGCAAAAGCTAAGGAATGAAGATATTGATTTAGAGTAGTTTTCTTCACGCGATGTTTCCGATGTTTAATCAAATGTCAGGAGAGTAATCACATGCCCGAATTTATGAGTAGGATGCATGTAAGTTTCCAGCTTGAAGCCGGCTACCAGCGAATTTCTTCTATTATCATCTGAAGTGAGAACTACACAAAATCCACCGGAAAAATTAAGAGCTCCACAAACAGACTACTGCCTTCACAATCCATACCTCAAAACAAACATTTCAGAAATGTGCATTTATTCTTCGAGATCGCTGAGTACAGACCATGTTGCGTAAAGTATTTTTAGTAAGATCAAATCAATTCAAGTTCGGCTTCTCACTTTACTCTTTGCGAGCTCCAAATCCATAAGTGAAACAAAAGACGGGTTCATTTGAAATGAAGATTTCTCTTGTTCAAATGCAAAGCCACGGGGTGAGTTCGAAGCTACCGACAGCATCTCAAACCATCTTTACCTTGTAAGTAATGCTGATAGTGCTATGACATAACAAGGCACTGGTTTTTCAATAAGCGAAGTTTGCAAAAGTGGTGAAACCCTTGAAAAGCTTGCGCCTTTTGAAGCCAATGTTTAAAAATATTTTCGAAGATATGCGCGGTAATACCTGGTATGGAAGCAACTTACTATGGAAAAATGACAAGTTAATGACAAAATCTGATTTCCCAGAATGTTCATGAAACTGTAAAGCATAAACTTCAACCAAACCAAAATAAAAGTTTTGATCATCTCGAATATAAATGGCAAAATGCTAATCTTTCCTTTTTCAATTACTCGCAAGTAAAGAGATCCAGGCTTACTTGATGAGATGGAGTACTGCGAGAAGAATTCGAGAAGGCGAAAGAAATGCGCAAGGAAGTTAACGACAAGCAGTGGTGAGCCGCGAAAACCCCATGGGATTCAAAATGTGTGACGGCTGACGGATTTATATGAGGCTCAATAGGGATAGGCACGCGAGCAGTATATGCGCGATAAGTTCTTGGCAGTGGTGTTTTATTAAACCGTAGAAACTTCGCATTATATAAATCTGGTAATTTATTGTCATAGATGAGTGGAAAAATCGAAGGGCGTATCATAAGCGCAGATGAATTAAGTGGTACCATTTCGCAGGTGGTATCATTCGTTATCACACCTTGTGTGTTTCAGTTGAAAAATGTGATATATTATGAAGTGGTGAAACTCATGCTTCCCGATTTTATACCAGAGATGAACGAGAGTTATGCTACTCCACTAAGTTGTGGTAGCATCATTTGTAAAAGTTGTAAAAGAAAACATTCAAAAATTCAATTCAGATTTTGATAGACTGAAGGGATAAAGTATTTGAAACTCTTTTGGTCTGCGGCACTTTCGAGTTTGCAGGCTTATTTCCAAAGAAATTAATGCAAACATGTAAATCCTAACTATATAGATCTGACAAATAAGAAAATGATATTTTGAATTTTTAGAAAATAAATGGGAGTCTATAAGAGATGTGAACGAAGATTAGCACATAATATTTTGTTTGAGTTCCGCAGTGAAAAAACTGAAGTATGAAAACGCGAAAAAATTAAAATTCCTTGTCCTGCTGAACATTTTTATACATTTGCTAAGATATTCTGCTCAAGTTTATTTTTCAAAAAGATTTACCCGTGTAAATAAGCGAAAACTTCAAAAATTGCTCTTCCACTAAATATTATCGGACCCATCTTCTTCTAATGGAAACAAAGCACTTTTGTTTTGGAAAAGAAAAGCTGACCATAAAGTTTTGCTGCAGGCTTTACGGAGCTGAGGTTATTGCTAATTGTTAAAATACGAGAGAGATAGTGTGATAATAAGTTAAACCAAATATTTGCAGTTTCCAGAAGAGTTGAATTGTGAGCGTGTTGTCCAAATCCGAGACATCAATTCTCAACGAGCACTGCGTCTGGGGCCAATTAGACTCAACTGCATTTCAACGCACACAGGAAGCAGATCCGCTGCTCTAGCTCTTCTCATCGAACTCGTCACAATGGAACACTAGACTTCCGAAAATAGACATTCAGTAATGAAAGATGCAAGATCATGATAACTCTACTTCATTCCTAGTGATTTACCTATTTGGACTCCTGGACATCGCTGAATATCCGGTGTAAATGATACGGCTTCTGGATCTGATGCGGAAAAATTTTTCAGCCTTTGATTTTGCTTCCTTTCGTCAACGAGGTCTTCTCCCAGTCATGGCTATCATTAGTACAGTCGAATGATTTGATATGATCATGTGTGTCATTGCACACAGTGCCAATTTTTAGTGCCATCCCGTATTCCTGGTGCAGGGGTCCTTCCTAAGTATTTTCAATGTGTTTTTGATGTTTTCTCTCCTTCTTAGGTATTAATCATCTCAAGTGATGTAAGTGATGATAATCAGTCAATCTTGCGTTTTTGCGATCGTAAGTCCATGATGAAGACACCAAATGAGGACGATGTGTGGCAATGCTTATAATCATATCAAATAACTCGACTTTATAATGATGTACGTAGAACACAAAAGCAGTTTCAATCATAAAATCTTCTCCTAATATAACAATTAGAGAACATCAGCGTCGACAGTGACTACAAAATGTCCTGACCTCAATTGCTCCGGTTTCCAGCTGTCATTGTGGAACTCAGGACTTTACAAACAAAAACAGCAAAAGATGGGTCCCAAACAGAAAATCACTCTCAATGCCACTAGAACACGAAAAGGGCAGTCAGCAAAACAACCCAAAATGTCGCCAACTGTCTCAAATGTCGAGCACTTAATTCTCTCGGAATTTTATCTTCGTTTATCTTGGGTTTGGTCAAAAAATCCCACTCTAAAAACAATAATCTTAATATGTTAGGAACGATATGATGAGTAGGCCGAGAGCTTTCTATCATGCTAACGACGGCAGGATGGTCAGTCAGTGGCTTCATGGGATGTACACCATCTCGGAGGACATGAAACTCTAATTCCAAATATGCTCTATCTGTGGAGCCTTTCTAGACAAGGAGCTGTGGTTGTTCGTTACAGCAAAAAAATGAGTAGGAGGCTACCAAGCTGAACGCAAGAAAATGGGACAGCTTGATTTTTATTATAGGCGATTCATAGCACGCATAGACTGCGGACCTGTCGGCGTCTCTATGATCGAGCGCTCTTTCATTTCTCTTACCATCTGCTGTCTCATCCATGCACGAACTATCTTTGCCGGACGCAACGGACCAGTCCTTGCCCATCATGAAGCGTGTATACATATTGAGGTTTTTTGTTTCGATCAATGACAAGCAGACTGAAACCTAACCGTCGCAAACATAAGCGATACTCCCCATTATACTGGCAACGCCTTACCGCTCCTCGCGCCAACCCCGCGGGCACCTTGAAGAACGCGGACAGGGTTTTTCGAACATCTCTCAATCTTGCGCTGCTAAATTGAAATCATAAGGCACAACATTCGAAAATAGCTCTCAATGCTATTGTAGATCGTACATAAAAATGTGAAAATCCTTTCATGTCCAGAGAAAAGCAAAAAACTTGAAAAGTTGCACTTTTGGCGCAATAAAAGACTAAAAAATCATCTTTCAACCTATTTTTTGAAGATAAAAGGAAATTAAGGCGAACTGCATATTGGTGTATACAGCGTAAGGTCCATCAGATGATAACTAGAAAACATATGTTCACTGGCAAAAAACACGTAAATAACACGTTTCTTCGCTCTCAAAACTGATAATGACCTTATAGGCAGCGTCCGGGCAAATAGGACATTATAACCGAGTACAACGACCTCAATTTAGAATTATCGCACCCCTGTAGAAGGAGAAAATTGGCACAGAAAACGCCAAGCCTCCAGGACCACGCTTACTCCCTCGCACGGCCCGCCCCCTTTAACGAACTCTCCTCGGCCCTTGACGTGTTCTCAGGTGGCAAACACAATGGAACACATAGTGTCTTCCTGCTGATGCTTGCTTTCGACAATGATTGCCTAAGAAGCACTCGTCCACTCTTCTCACGGAATTGTCTTAAAAATGGTTTATTTTTGAGAAATTCACGCATTCTGAGTGCCATATTTGGAATCAGCGCCATGAAAAGGCCTGGATAAGGCAAAAAAAGAGGCTGTGATCCTTCCTGGACGGTGCCTTAATCTCCTGACTCTAAGGTAGGTGCCAGAGTAAGCGAATATTTTGTTCAGGTTGGGGTCCCGCGCAGAATGGACGTCACTCACCATGCTGGCGTCAATCCAAGTGACGTCAATTCTGCGGTACCCCAACCTGAACAAAATAATTACTCTGGCACCTACCTAAGCGTTGGGGCCAGCAGGCCCCATTGCAGGGTTTGGTGACTGTTCCATCAACCATTGCAGTGGTGGTACTTTGGATGGTCTCAAATGTTCCGCTGCGCAGATAATACTCGAAGTTTATAATTTTTCAAAGTGATTAACTTCGCAATTCAGCAAGTATAAAAGTTATTGGGTATGTGGATGACACATAGGTACTGGCTGACAGAAGATATTAGGTTGCTCCAAAATATCGCGCTGTTTCTCAGACCAATGCCCAAACCAATCAGAATGAAAATAGACGAACGCTGTAAGCTCTATCCGATGCAGAATTTCTGTAACTGCTTCTACGAGCGCTGAGGTAATTACTGAAAACTAGAACACTTCATTTTTATCATGTCTAACTTTCGCTAATTTTCATTACTTTCAATTTAGACATTTGAAGGTGCTCTTTTAACCACCTTTTGCAAATTAATGGAATTTTTTGCATCTCTCTAGCATGCTTTCTGGAATCAGTAAAATGTTTTTCCGAAGCGACCAAATTTTATATTTGGCTAATTCTAACCTCGCAAAACAACAGACATCGAACAATTTAGGTGTCATTCGATGCATCTTTCTCTCCTCTTTCTGACAGCTACCTCTTCTTCGCGAAACATGCAACTCCTGCAGACAAAGCGCTGTAATTTCCAATTTTTGCGTGTGCGCTAGGTTATAGTCGAAATTTCAAAATCTATCCAATTTCACGCCGTAATCGCTCATTTACTTAGTAATACTAGTGGTAGTAATAACCAAGTTTTAGAACTTCAATATTTTGAGGATTTCGCAATATTTGGTTCAATTAAGTATCAAGCAACCATCAAAATTCAATGCGCCACTAAAATGATTCAGCAAAATTCTCAAGAGGAAGCTGGAAAAATGCAAAGAATTGCATTAATTCGAAAAAGATTTACCTTATCAGGTGGTTATTGAAGCCCTTTTATAAACAACGTATATCAAAACTGGAAAGTTCGATCACTTTTTTTCCTAAGAATAATACATTTATTTTCCAAGTGTCCTAATTTTTCCGTGTACCTTAATTATAGTCACACATTTTCCTCGCTCCTAAATGGAGCAGTATGATCATCAGAGCATTTTATAATAAATACTCCTAGGTTAGTTATGTCCACACTAGCTGCCTCATTTAAACAATATGAAGATTGGTTTTCATGACAAATTTTAATAATCGTGCATTCAACTTTTTGCATCAATAAATGCTCATAATTCCTACTTCTGAAACGCTCCGCATGTAGAAAAACAGATTTGAAAGCACCATTCCAGAAACTCTCAATGATAAACACTACTTACCTAAAGAAACACTTCGACTAGCTATCCTTGCCTCGCAAGAAAAAAAAGCGAAGCAGCAAAGGGAATGATCCTTATAGAAACCTACCTGTGGTGCGAGAAAAGTTTTTAACTTGGGAATGTAGCCAGTGTCGTGCTATCGGCATCGTCAGCCTAAGAGTGCCACCCTCATACTGCGCCGGCAGCCGCCACTAGTCGCTTTTGAGAACTATTCCATTATTCGGACACCAATATCGAAACCACAAAACTCGCTCAAACTTGGTTTAGTGGGGTTATTCGGCATGCTGATTACAACTAGCGTAATCTTTTAACCTTTTGGAAAGGCCTTGGAATGCCGGGATAATGCGCAAAAGCGGCTATAGGGGCTAGAGGCGGCTGCCGGCGCGGTGTGAAGGCACCCTAAACCTCCATTTTTCATGTCACCTATGGCATAGCCATAGGCGTAAAATGTGAGCCGTTCGTTTTTGAGTATCTAATCAGAGAGCGAATGGCACCGCAGTAGGATGGGGCGGCCTCACACGCAGGTGCCCCCTACTTTGATGTACTTCTAGCCGGATAAATTTCGCCTCCTTTGCAGCATATAAGAATTTCAAATGTGTTACTTCTCCTGACTGTATGGGTGCGTTTCAAACCGGTTTCCAGAAATTAGATTGGCGGGCGTCCGACTCGCCGTTAGATACAGTTATCATTTCGATTAGGAATCCATGTCTGCCTCCGCCTGAGCTTGTTTGTACCAGCGCTGTACGCTCGCAAAGCCTCCAGTGATGTGGACGCGTTGTTCACGTAGAATGTTTTGCTTACTCAGTGAGATGAATTTGCGTCGGCGCAAAGAAACCTATTTTACAACAAGTTCACGCTATTATCTTATAAAGCTAGCATGCAGGATAAGTGGTGTAGAGGTATGAAGCGCCGCTATAACCAAATCGGACAGGTTCGATACCGCCTTTGGGCCAATCAAAGACTCTCCCCTCCGGGGCTGATAAATTGGTACCAGAGTGATACGGGAGAATATAAGCACTGATTTGGTAATCGGCTGGTCCCCGCAAGTCACTGTAAAAGGCTCAAACGTATTCAGCAGCCTCTTCGATATGAAGTAGAGTACGTCGGTGCTTGCCCTTAGAGGGTATTGGAGACGACGAATCTTTTATCATTTTATCCTTAAAGCTTGTAATTGGGATGAGATGCGTTGTTTTAGTGTATTATTTCCTATAACGCAAGTCGGAAACCATAAAATTCTGCCTCCACTCCACCCAGCGCACATGGCCGGACAGTGCGAAGTGAAGGACTATGCATAAATGCAAACCTTTCCTACACTGTTTACAATAGCAATAAACTCTTGGCTGCTCGTAACTGCTTATAAACAGTGACTTAGAAGTATATTCGTATATTCGCATCAAGCTCGAGAAATTAACCGTTTCACGTACAAGTAATAGAAGTACAAGTAATAAGTGAAAATCTGCACAACAATGTATCACAATAGAGAGAACCCTCCTAAATAGGACTAGAATCTCTCAGAGATCATACTAAATCTAAGAGAGTGTCGATTGCACGTAAAGGGAAGTGATATTCAATTTTACACGTGGTTCACGCTCAGCATAGCTTCGTTAGCCTCGTCTGCAGCGGAAAGGCTTGTCGCTGGTGTGCTGTTGATGTTTTCGATAGCAGCTCGTAACTAAAAATTACACGTAATTTCCATAGATGTTCCAGTAACGCGATGAGTCATGATACTCTTCAAATGCACTTTTGCAGCCACCATTTAAATAAAGTAGTGAAACACAAGGCGAGAGAGGATACCTCATAGTGTTTGCTGTCGGAATCGTTGTAATTTGCAAAACCAACCATTCTTGTCTAATTTTTTGCGCTATTGTGACTGAAGAATTTACTTCACGGCTTGCCATTGTGTGATTCAAACATTCAAATGAATCAGTCAAATAATTGACTTTTAAGAATTGCATTGGGAAAGCCAATAGTAGCAAGACATAATACAGGGCTCCTAAATTGCAGAGTCGTTTGCACCAGCGGTCGCGCGACCGCGTCGAGCCCGGGCATTTTGCCGGCGCCGGCGCCATTGATCGAGGCGGCGCCATTGATGCTCGGGCGCGACGCGGTCGCACGATCGCTGGTGCAAACTCTGCAATTTAGGAGCCCTGTATGATTTACTGTCTCATCGTTCTTCTCCTTGACTCTTTGAAAAACAAACGTTTTCCCCGATAAACTAGACAGTCAATCATAGGGTCAGCACGAGGTGGGCAACTGTCAGGCTGGAAACCATTTTGGATGGAAAGCAAAGGGATATCGTAACAAATGTTTACCAGAGATACGCTCCTTGACAAGGAGCTACACGACTGACATGCAAAAACACGGACTTGCTCGCGCGTCATTTTCAAACAAGATTTTTTTCATGGAGTTGTAATTGAATGTCTCGGTTATATCGCACACTTAACGATATGAATAATTCGATGTATAAACGGACATGGACTAAGAGGAGCATAGTGCAGAATATTGTAGAAAATCTTGCGACGAAAGGTTGTAGCAGGCTTTTTCCTAGAGATATGATACGAAATTTGGTGTGTATATGCGCAGTACGGCTACGATGCTAAGTATGAAAAATTATAAAAACTTGTATGAATAAAGAGAGTGCTTGACTTTTTCCTAAACCAAGCAGTATTGCCCACCTAATGCCCACCTGATGTGGGCAAAACTTCCATCACACATAAGTTTTACAAAATTTTTATCTTAATCTGTTCTACACCCACAGTTTAGTGGTAGCATTTTCTGGTTCCACAAAAGTGCAATATTGCCAAAGGGTGACTGCAATTGTCTCTTTGATTCTTTGCTAATGTATTCATTCTTTCCTCCAAAGCGGATAATCAGTACCAAGGAGGTGCTTACTTAGTTAAGCGGTCACAGCGGTAATGAATATAGAGAAGAGAGGTACTTTCCTCCTCATTGTGTACGTCGGATGATATCGTAAAATTCAAGTATAAGAAAAGTTAGAGTTTGCTACGTGTACAGTGCTAACAAACCTCTTTGAGTGATACAACTCCAACCAATCGACCAAACTTTGTCACATACGCTCGCCGTAAGCCCAAAAGTGAGAATACGGAATGAATCTGGAAGTTTTTATTTTTGGCATATCAGAGCATCAAACTAAATACGACCTTAAATATTGACGTATTTTCAACTAGCTGAAATGGAGCTGGATCCATGTGACAGGGCAGCAGATCAAGTGTACTGGAAAGCTGCTCAACTTCCCATTGAGCGCGCTTAAATCTCCTTTTATTGTTAGTCATTACTGTGAAGAAACCTCTATAATAACCTCTTCTCCATACAAGTCGAACATTCCTTTCTTGCGCCTTGGATATGTTATTCGATATAACGACCGCCGCAAGACATCCGAGCAAATTTTCTTCGTTGTATCTAAACTCCAACAAGTTTTACTTTGTATGACTTATTGCTATAAAATTTTGCAAAGTCTAGTCCACGGCAATCATGCTCTCGCAACCCCCACGGGGGAGAAGGTCATCCCGTTATATACAATGTGCTGAGACCACTATTCCATTGTCACATGATCCACGGCAGCAACTCAGCAATCTAGGAACTAACATCTTGACGCGGCAGCGCGGAGATAATTTGTTTCCAACCAATTTTCATGATTATTCTATCACCAGCTGAGACATCCAGCTTTGTCCTGGAACTATAGCTTCATTCTATATATAGCTGAATGTTTGTTTGCCTGTATGTTTGTCTGTATGTATGTCTGTCTGTACGTACGTTCCGAATAGAACATTTTATTTCTGAACCGATCCAGACCAAACTTGGCACACATACACTTAGGGGCGGGGCATGCCGCAGACTACTTTTCGTTATCGATCGATATCATTATCGATTTTTATCGATTTTTTGCAGAGTTCACCTACGAGGCTGGGATTTGGCACAGGGGGTAATCGAGCATGCTGATTACGAAAACAAAATTAGTCTTGAAATTATCCGACATTCATCAATTTTATCGACTTTTTGCAAAGTTTGAACCAGAGGCTGGGAGTTGGCAGGGAGGTATTTGAGCATGCCGATTCAAACAGCGGGAACAGAGAATTGGCATGACGACGTGGGCGCAGAGAAAGGTTGTACAGGGATACGGATAAGAGTTTATCATAATGTTTTAACAGGGCCGGCCGGAGCCGGTTAAGCCAGCTAGTGACATGATAAAACTCCCTATTCCCGATCTCTACACAGCCTTTCTCTATCACTGTCCCACTTCTATCTCCCAGCTGCCTGCTAATATCTGTTAATCGTATTGTCCTTACTCCCCTTCCCACTTCCTGTGCCAAATTCCAGTTCAGTAGCTGTTTGCAAAAATTGATATAATCATCAAAGTAGTGGGCACTTTACAAAAAATTATTGTAGCCATGACCATCATGCCCACTTAATTTTCTGTGCCACTCCCAGCTCCGCAGCTGGAAGTTTGCAAAACATCGATAAAATCGATAATATTGGTGATTCTAAATTCAACATTGTATTAGCAATCAACATAGTCACTTGTCCCCTCCGTGATCAGCACACTTACCCTTCCCAGCTCCGTAGCTCAAACTTCGCAAAATTTTGCAAAAAATCAGTAAAATTGATGCGATCGATCACAAAAATACCTGTGACATTGGCCACCTCGAAATGTATGTGTGCAATGTCCAAATGGTTCCATACAAAAGATGTTTTTCGGAACATGTGTACAAACATACGCACAGAGATGCAGACAAAAAACATTCAGCTTCATGATTGAGATTACATCTCGATTTATGGAAGAAAGATGAAAAATGAAGCACATATCACCTTATTTTTTGATTTGGGAGCTTTCGTAATCACAGTTCGACTTCGACCCCGCCCTTTCCAACTTTTCCCGTCGAAAAAGACATATATTAGGCTAATGCAAAACTAATGGTCGTTTTTTCCTAGCCTTTTTATAACGATGTCTTCATACCGCGCCCTTCAACCGCTAGCAGCCCATAGCAACCGCTGGCAGCTCGTAGCACCCGCCAGCAGCCCGCAGAAGCCGCTGGCCGCTTGTTATAAAAGCGCAAAATCATCAAATTCCTACTACTTTGAGTGCGCCCGCCCACGCTGTCTATCTTCCACGCTTCTTTCTTCCTATTGCTGCTAATGTGCAATTCCACTCTCACCCATTACAGAGTTGAAGATAAGCACCGGCTAAGGATATGATTGAAGCAGAACAGTACTCAGAAGATAACCAAATAGCACATCTGCAGAAACTGGACGCATCCAAAGTAGAAATAGAAAACTCCGGCGAAATACGGTTCAACTGCGAGAATGAAACTGAGCACCAATATTATAAGCAATCTACGGCAACGAGATAATAACGACAATGGTAGCCTCTATGGCAAAAGCGGCTAGCGGTTTCTACGGGCTGCCACGGGGTGCTAGCGGCGGCTGCCGGTGCGGATTGAAGGCACTCTAAGAGCAACTTCCACTAAAAAATTATCTTCGGAAAAGATACAACACACCATGGGGAAGCAATCTCTCATGCTCTTCTAATAATTGTTGATGCTTTCAGACTCATCATATAAAAAGTTAAAGAGCTTCAAATAACCGCATCCAAGATTATAATTGCATTACATTCACTTTTCTGGAAAGAGTTTGAGTGTGAATGAACGGAAAATTATCTACTGCATCTAAGAAAAATTATCCACTTTACGCAAACTTAACTATTTTCTTTGCAATCATCTAGGCTGAGATATCGGCGCTTCAACATGGGTGAAGTTGCGGTCACTCAAGGACGCAATATTTTCTTTTAAAAAAGGCAGTGAGGCTGTGAGGCCTACTGAAAAATTGTTGAAATTGTCACATTTAAATTTTGATTTTTCTCTTGTCGCAAATCTTCTTTGTTCAAGCAATTCCATCTTTTTTGTCCTACCAGCTTGCGGTCACAAGATAGTTAACTTATTATTTACACTAACAAGCTGTCAAGGGAGTTATGCTTTGGACAAGGTTTTAGAAGAAAACCATTTTTGTTTTTCAATCAAAATTTTTTCGCCCGTTCGCGTTGTGAGCGTACATGATTGTGCTCTGTATTTTGAAAGGTTTGCTGCTTCTGAAGGCCTCTATTGCATTCAGAAATGCAGCTTTTTTAGAAAGTTTTGGCAAGTTAAGGTGAGAATTCGAGAAACGACCATTTTTTGCATCAACCTGATACTTGTTGCCGTGGGCTGGCTTACTACAATAGCTACAATGCTACAAAAAATAGATCGCATTTATCAGTTAGGCCTAGACTCCAAGGATAACTTTGATGTTGTGTGGAGATAAAGTCTAGTCAAAGAGACAACATGTACAAATCAAAACTAAACAGCTGTTCTGCTTCCTGCACAAGTTTCAAAAGCGAGAACAAAGGAGCAAAAAGAACCACGAGAGCTAATAGGAAGCAAAGTTGGTTTCACTTTCAACACTATTTTTTTTATTTCAGCTAGGATCCGACTCAAGTGGTAGCCGAACAGAAAGAAACTTGAGGGTATTACGCTGCTTATCAGAGGGCACCCTTTTCTTGTTTCAACCCTTTGTGTTGCCAAGTTGAAATTCTTGACGTTCGTGTCTTCCACATCTAGTATCAATTCCTTGAATATAGGCAAGCTTATTGAATCTTCCTTTTTATTTTTAATTGTTTTCATGAGCTTTGTGGTTTATCCCGTTTACCTGCTCGTAATCGTTTCCAAAGAGACGAATAATTTTCGAAAACGGACCTGTAAAGGATGTTTTCCGCTGCTCCGATAGAACCCTACTCAATTCTTTCTCGACACGTGCAGCTTTCTTGAAAACTTTGTCGCATTCGCTGTAATATCTCTAGTTAAAAATTTGAAAAAAACTAGTATAGTTTTGATGGAAATCGATGTAAGAAATAGACCTGCAAGATCCATCCACCGCTACGCAGTGAAGAAGTTTCGAACATCTACTATTGGAATGCTCTGCGTTTGAGTTTTGCGATCTTTTCCCTAATAGTGGCAGTTGAGCGGATGAATAGTATCTATAAATTCTGCCTTTCAATCTGTAATCGAACTTCACTTTCAGCTGGTAAATAAATTGAACAAACTTTCGGGTGTAGAAGTGCTTGCTGGGTTCCATTTCATTATGATATTCCACTGAGGCGCTAGAAAGATTTCTACAGTCTTGCGAAACGACTGCCGTTTGAAGACGACGAGCGGCTTCTGGAGATATCGAATTCAAAACTATTTTCTCTATTACAGTAGTAATATTACCTAGCTGTCGTGCTTGAGGCCCAACTTTATTCTCGATTAGGTCGCTCAGTACTTTTTTGCTAACAGATCCGAGAAGAATCAGCGATTCTAAAACTTTGTAACATTTTAGAATGACAGTTTCGTAATAGTTGTGTACTTGTCATGCAGCCTTTGCTATTTTTTCCTATCTTGTAATTTTGCTTCATTTTGTAAAGTTCAAGAATGCGTTTTCGCACGCTCACCTTTATCAAGTACTACAGGAAATGACTTGAGTCGACGGTTGGACTCTATCATGGATTTCATTTCAAAATAAGTCATGTCTTTCCATATGTACTTCAGATCGGTAACCATTATCTGTTCTGCGACAATCGAGTGGAAGCTGAAAACAGATTGTATAAATTGAGGTTGTTTGCCGCATGCTTGTCTTACTCTGGAGAGCAGTGAGAGACTTCCGGAAGATAAGGCAGCTCTTTAATTATTATGATACTATCGTAGATTGAAGGTTGGAAGTATGAGCATACAACGTTGGCGACGATGACTGCAATCTAAAAGGAGGTGTTTTTTGTAAGGTGGGGATTTTCGTAGTATAGATACCATGACTGGTAAAATGTGCATGAGCTGGCCAGTGAATTCAAAGACGATAACGGCAACAGAGATTGTATGCGTGACGGCTCCGCAAAACGAAGCAGCACCTTGAAAAAGATAAAGTCAAATGTCAGGTACGTTACACCCACACACGCGCGGCTATTCATTATCCATAGTGGAAAAAACCACTTTTAATCCAAGGTGGACTGCCACAATAAAGTAGCTCAGAGTGCCTGTAGCGTGCTCATAGAGTAAGGTGAGAGGTCGATTTTATCTCATGCGCTAAAAACTTGTAATCCCACCTCAAACTACACACACTGAAAAGAAAAGCCAAAATTGAATAGCATCAAGCGCATGTCCTTTCTCATTCTGGGTCGAAAGCTTTGTCAGAGTGTTACTCGCGTGCTCTAACACGGGAATGGTCAGGAATCTGGCTGATCTCAACTAGCTGCATATCATTAGATGCAGCATAAAACGCTGACTCTGAATTTGTTTTCCTTATGCGTTAGTTACTTTTGTGGACGAAGTTGCAAGTTATTAAATGCCATTATTTTGTTTGAGTATCGTTATAAAGAATTTGGCTGTACATAGCCAAGTCCGACTCGATGCTGGACTAAAACATGCATTTGAGTTACTTCAAATGGCCTATACCTAAGGAGCAAAAAGGTAACAAGCGGCATATTTCACAATTTTTACGTACGATTTTTTGCGGTAAAACTGCCCATAGCTTCGCCTCCAGAGGCGTTCTGCAATTACGAAAGACACATTTGAAATTAGCGTTCTATGCTGCATCGAATAGCATCATTTCGTCTAGAATGCCAAGTCCGGCTGCCACTGCCAATGTCCGTTCAAACTTCACGCATATCGGTAATCTTTAGGTTACGTCATTCTTGTGCTGCACAAATTCCACACTAGCAAAACTGAGAGAAAACCGAAAACCAGCTGTTTGGAAGCGATTGGTGGTGTTGAGTCGTGAGTGACACTTTCCGTTCTTAGGCCTCCGTGAAAACGAAAGCGTTGAAATGTTGGGTCGTGAGATTGGAAATAAAGACCACTTACCAAAGCTTTGTGGCACAGAAATAATGTGGAGTTTTTAGAACGCTTTTGGCTTATTTGTTATTCGGGCGCTCAAGCTCGTTAAATTCCAATTCACTGGTTTATTACATTTTTCAAAGTAAGGGCGACAAGCTCTACTATCTTTCTTTGAACTAAACAGTTATCAATTGTTTCATTAGTCCACTACCTCACCAAGCACAGACAGTTTTGATTTATGTTTACTAACACAACATAGCTATTTTTGTTTTCGTTACAATTTTGGCATATTTAGGTTTGCTAGATTATAAGCTTATAATCTATGCATGTATAGAAACTCAGAGTTTGCTTAGCATAAATCTATGTGGTTTTATGTGGTTTATCAATTTCTCTGTCCGTGAAATGAGAGAACCAAAAATCTTAGCGTATAGTTTTCGACCCCGGAGAGAATTGTAGGCTACTCTTTGTGGCGATTTATTGGGCTTTTCCATCGAATTTTTTGATTTCTGGAACTTTGCTGTGAAAATGAACTCTAATCAACCACTGACATGCCTTTCCATAATTTCATGCAAACAACAACAGTAGAGGTCATTTCGATTTTTGCAAAGGATGCGGTGGCTCAAAGGAGTCTATGCTGCAGGACCGCTCTCTGCGCAGAATGAAAGGAGTGAAGGAGGGGGGGGGGAGTTGCTGTGAACTGCAGAAGGTGAGACAGGGAAAGCAAGTTAGGAAGCCACGAGAAGAGCAACGACTTTATTTTTGTAAAATTCGCGTGATCCAAAAAGCCCATAACCAGGGCGAGACCGGATATGCCAGATAGGCTGAAGCAAGATTCAACATTGTTCACATCAAGTAGGCTCTCTGTTGATGTGCTTCTTTTCGTTATAAGTCTCTAGCTAACCTCCAAAAAAGCTTATTATGTGCATGTCAAACGCTACATCAAGTAGACCTCTTTAATCATTCCCTCTTTGATCCTAATGTGAATCATTACCTACAACTCCATAGACTCCAGGATGTATTAACAGGGTGTAATTGGAGCGTATGCCATCCGGAAAAAGTATCGCCATTGTTTCGCCGACCAAACGCCCGAACGAAGCTCCTATTACAAATACAGGCATGAATATACCAGCTGGAATAGGCAGTGTTGACCCCACCATCGATAGCACGAACTGAAAATGTCTAAGCTTATTGCAATCTTAAGTAGATGCTTATCCTTACGAAAGTAACAGTGAAGAATAAAAGAGTGATGCAAACACTATTTGTGCCACTGCCATTCCACTGATCCAGAAACCCTGTAGCACAGGATTCAACACGGCCTGGGCCAGCGGACCAGGTGCAATTTGAGAGAAACATCAGCAACGTTTGTGAAAATCTATGCTGGAATTATTCTAAATACTGAGAATGTTGCAGCAACAATCAACCACTCACTCTTCCTGATAAGAACTGTCCTAAACCTTTTGGATAAGTGATAGAAGCTGCGACAAAAGACATAGATAGCGGATAGAGAAGCCAGCTGGAATCAAGATTCTTTTGTTTGATATAAAGAAGCAGAATTATAGGATGTTTGACTTACTGCTTCGCCATAAATGCTTTGCACAAGCGTGATTTTGTTAGAAACAAAACCAAAGACCTGTGACACTTTATGAAAAGTGCTCCACCAAGACCACATAGCAATCTGTAGCACTTATCATAGCAAGTGAAAGAGTCTGAAATTTGTAAAAGAGCACGAACCCCACAAAGGCAAACACAGGAATCTCCTCGGGAAAATATGACTCATCAGGAAATCGAGTCTGACCATAGGCCATCACGGTTACTGGAAGAGCAGCCGTTAAAGAAGGCATTGAGTGAAAGTGAAAGAAATTGTTTCGGTCATGTTAGTTAAGGACATATCTGATATTTTTCGTCAATTCTACCTTCCGAAGACTTCGCAATCAGCCGGACTATCCGAAACGTTGTTGCAGCACAAAGAGCAGCTATGAATCCTCTCCAATAATTTCTGACAGCAAAATATGCAGAGGTAACCTCTATAGAAAATAAAACGCCTGGAAATATGATCAATTGATATGTAGCATCCTTTGAGCGAGTTCCTTTGACTAACCTCCAATGGGTGTACTAAAGGTGCACGCAACGCCAACAGCGCATCCAGCTGCAAGCAGCTCTTGCGATCTCGATTCATTGGCATAAGCTCCTTCTTCACCAATCATGAAACGTGAAAGTTGACTCGCAACTGCAGAAGAGACGTGAACGAATGGACCCTATATATTTTATTTTATACCTATTTAATTTTACATTCAGATTTGACTATGACTTTCAAATATGACATTATATATGACTTTTACAAAAATATATCTATCAAAAATTGCGAACTAATTTGCAACGTTGTGAAAATGTCATACTAGCAATGTTTATATTTTAGCTAGAATCTGTTGAGAAACCATCACCTCGAGTTATTCTTGTTTGAGGGTTCGTCAGACTATGTCGTATAAGCTTATGCACGTCTGCGTACGCTGACAATGATTGTCCTAACAATTTGTTCACCCCCCCCCCCCCTGAGCCAACCAACCCTTTACCCTCCGAGACCGGTAAATTGGTACCAACATAATCTGGGAGGATAACAGCAACTAACTTGGTAACTGCTGGCCCTGCATGTCACTGTGATAGGCCCGCACGCATTCAGTAGTTTCTCTAACTCTAAAGCAGACTGCGTTTAGCGCCCGTCAGTAGAGGATATCAGAAGCGCCGAATCCTTTATCCTTTTAAATTGCACTGATTCAAAGCCTTGATTCAATCTCATTATTCCCTTGTAGCTTCAACTGCGAATAGTCTCGACAGAATATGATCGACAAAGTTTCATGCAAAAAATCCATTCTGGTAAGGCACACTCAAGAAAAAAAAGTTGATTACTTGCGAAAATGAACGCTCTGGTCGTGGGTGTACAAAAAAACATACTAATTATGCTCACGTCGAAGTGTCGAGAGAAATTTTGAGTCTGACTTTTTATTGTAAGTGAGTGCTTTCAGTCCACGTTGCCCTTTTTTGGACTGTCATGATTCATAATTGCTGGAAGCAAAACGAGGTCAACTAGAGGGGGTCAACTTTTGTCAATATTACAGACACATTCAAGACAGTTTCCCGCCGAAAACCTTCATGCTTGGATGACTAGCACACAACATGTGATCGTCTTTATGTTCAAGTAAAAGAAATGCTGTCATTTGTGACATACGCACAGAAACAAGTTCATCGTAATGGGCTGGGTTGAAAACTGCTCAACTGAAGATTTCTCTGTGTTAAAGGTGCCTTCATACCGCGCCACCAGCCTCCTCTAGCCGCCTTTGAGCACTACTCCATTATCCAGATTCCAAAATCGAAATCACAAATTTTGTTCAAACTTGGTTTATTGGAGTTATTCGGTATGTTTTGGAAAGGCCTTGGAGTACTGGGACAGTGCGCAAAAGCTGCTACAGGCGGCTAGCGGCGGCTGCCAGCGCGGTATGAAGGCACCCTAAGGAGTTTACACTGATTGATGCTATTGCTAAACTACTGAACTCTGTGGTGTAGCAGCGACGGTCTCAAGTGTTTCACCAATCTCTAAAAGTTGTGAAAATTCACTATGTAAGTGATGCCGTGTTCCTGCTGTTCGGCTAGGCCTCATTTAGTGACGCCCTAGTGATTATTTGAATAATGATGCTGCAAATGTAATGTTAAGCCATAGTGAAAGCTGCAATGCACGCAAAAGGACAGGTTTCTAAAAGAGCAGAGAAGGGCCTTATGTCGCTACTAAAACATTGACATGTTCTGGGTAATGCACTCCTAACCTGGAAGCAGCCCAAGCAAAGTTGATGAGTTTCTGATCCCATGCGATAGTGAACTCATACATTGACCAAGGGCCCGAGTTGCTTTCGAACCGGACGGGCGCTGCGTGAAAAAAGGTGGCGTGATGGCTGCGCCCACTCATTTGCAAATTCCGCCCAACCAGCGATTTCCCTGCGTCATTTTGACGAGGCAAAGCCCGATCAAAGCACAAAATGGGGTAGAGGACTATATGTCGCCGAAAAAGGGCGGTCCCGCGGTCATTTGCGACAAATACGCACTCTTGTACATGCGCGGACATGCGTTCCTGCAGGGAATCCGCGCGGGACTCTTCTTCGGCGACATATAGTCCCCCACCCCACAAAATGTACTGTGCTCACCACGTCAAAGCGCGTCGTGTTTTCATCTCATGAGGCCTACTTCGGAGCCTTTTCTCGCTCTAAAAGCAACATCTCACACGCTTCTCGGACATTCTTTTAATGTAGGGGCCCACTATCGTATAGAATCAGGATGCCATGGTGGTTGAAGAGCGGAGTTGAGTTGATTCTGATGACCCATGAAGTGACTATTTGTAATAACCCTTCTGCAATAGGACAAGTAATTTAGTCATTGTCTCGCTATTGACTTTCCCTTGTTGCCGAACAACAGTTCAAAGCAGTTTCTAACATACTGGCGATGCAAAGCAAAGAATCTTACCTCTTTTCCTAATGGCAGTCCGCTACCCAAAGAAAGTGTAAGTCCTATCATTTTGCAGACGAGTGTTCTCAGTGAGAGGTATTCTTTTAACACAAAGCCGCGCATGATAGTCTTCATTTCAGGAATTCCTGATCCTAAATGCATAACGATCAAAAGGAGTAATTGCTCATATCAGCTGAGCCTTTTTGCCATTATTTTTTGAGGAAGATAGCTTGCGTTAAACTAGCGTATTGTTGCGAAGGCATTATAGCTCGTGACGACTTCACAACTTTGCAAGTTCTTTTACGACAAATGACCAAACCCCATGTCAGTGTAAACTCTTGAATGGGAGCATCCAATCATAAGATGCAGTGCGCTTGTAAAACCGATTTCATTCTTCAAGAGGAAACTTCAAATGTACAGAAAGCATGTTATTTTTGCACTCGTTTTCCCTTCCTTCTCTCTTCTTGTGCTGTCTTCGTCTATTTCCTCCCGGCCAAGCTTCCTGCGCAAAACTTGACTTTGATACACTTTTCTACCAAAAAGTCAATAACGTACGTTATGTCAGTGCAAATGTAAAATCCTCTTTCCATGACATGCGCGAAAGTACATGGATGATTCGATTCGAATTGCATTTATTCAGCTAATATAATCTTTACAGCGCACTTTTTATGCAACTGAAAGAGTATTTTTGAGATCATTGAAAACTGACCTATAAATCTAAGTTGAACCTCGCTCTACAGAATGATACCTAAAACTCGGCAAAAGACTTGAAAGCAAGGGAGTTATTAACGATCAAACAATGTGCACATCTTTTTGGGACACTCTGTAGAAGCCAAAAAAACAAGGCTTTTTTTTCGTAGCGCCTAATTTGAAACACCGAAACAACTTACTTTGCAAAATATTGATATGGGGTTGAGCTGCTAAATACCCAATGAGCGCTAATCAAAGAGCGGCATAATTTTATGGGAAGGTCCACGAGAATAGTGTGTATATTCAAAGTTTTCGCAGTTCTTAACTGCTTTCAGTAGGCCAAAATTCACCTTACTTCAGGATTTGCATTTTTCAGAAAGATCAATTTTGTGAAAACCGTTGATATGTTGGGTAGACTTATGTTGCCGACAGGCAGCATCCTGGACAGATCGGCCAATGATGTGTAGAACGGTGTATTTGTTGCAGAGGCACGCGGGATTTCCTTATCGGAGACAAGATGTCCTTTACCCTGATGTGAAGCTTGATAATGGTAGCAAGCAATTTCTGCACTTTTGCTTTCTTCTCTAAAATTTTTTGCATCGTCCCGAGAATAACTTCTCTGTTATACGTCTGCTATTCCTGAAAATCTTTCCACAGTTTGTGATTTGAGGCTGTTCTCCCTATTTCAGTTTGAGATTTCATTTTTTTAGTCTTTAACTTATTTAACCATTTGAACTACGGTCTTCATTTCGGTCTTTCTTCTGTATATTCACCTGACGTGATTTAGCCTTCTTCTCTTTTTTTTCACATGATATCCATCGAAATTGTCCCTCCTGCCTCTTCTTGACGGTTGGAGCGACCCTTACCATAGCTTTTACGGTATTTTTAACGACATGTTCCATTATAATGATGCATATTGTCCAACAAACCACTCTAGTTTCCACCACAGTGAGTTTTCGCTCCTCGTAAGACGCGTGAGGCAACATTGCTATAATGCGTAGACCCCATCATCGACTTGGAGTGTAGCGGCATTCTTTTCTCTCATGAATCCTATGAGGTTCCATTTCTACCTTTTCCTTACCACCTGCGTCTATTCTGGTGCCAACTCCCAAATGTGTTGTGTCTGCAAACTGTTCTGTATGTGCCATCCGCATAAATGAATTTCTCAAATGTTGAAAAATGTGGTCTTTTTAATTAAATACTTCCCATTTGGATAGTTCCATGTATTGGGACGTCCACTTTCAAGCCATGTCACTTCAGCTGATTTTTCCACAGGTACGTTCCGCTTGTACCTCCTTCCCGCCTCCTGCCAGCAGGATGCATAGTTTGCATACGTGAGTGCTCATGAGGGTCGCATGAAATTTTTGATTATAGTTTGAACTACGAGGGCGGTGAGAATACGTACCCTTCATGTTCGCTCGTACATTGTCTATCTGGACTTTTTCTCAACAGGAGATTGACACATACCGACCCTGATCGTCCCGCTGCTGTTTGAACGTAGCGGATTGCACCTTGTCGTATTCTAACTCATTTTGTTCTAATTCATCAAACATACTCCTCTGGACCATGTGTCTTTGTAGTAACCGTACGGTATCACGTCAGTTCAAATCCCCTTTACCTTGGCTGTATGGATTGCTTCCGTAGTGCAGTAGCCTTCACGAAAGCGTTGATTGTCAATTCTAAGTATCCTAATCATGTCTTTAGCATTCTTCCAAAAAATCTGCGTGGCTAATGAGACGGATGACGCCATGTGCAGCATTCAACCATGTCGCTTTTGTTTTCCATGTCGCCTCATCTTACTTCTGTATCTGTCTTTAGGCGTCTCCTTAGTTTCACCTAAATTCAGGGTCGAGTTGGCCTCAAAATGTTAGCCTGTACCCAATCCTTTAAAACCCATTGGAGATGCCATCCCTGTCCTCGTGTTGTTACTTGTTCCATATTGTAGGAGATTGATTACATCTCTTGTATCGCATGAGTGTATCGCATGACTTGAAGATTGACTACAACCTCAGATTTTTGAGTTCAGGTCAACAAGTTAGCAATAATTCTCTTGACCTTATTATAAAAATGCTCAAGAAATTGGGAAGAAGCTTCAGAATACATTTTAGCAAGTATAAAGCCAAATGAGATCGAATGCGGAGAAAATGGTTGAGATTATATTCAGAGCGTATTCTTCGTTCTTACCTATAGCTTGAGGGGAGAAATAATGAGCAAACGCGGCCGAGCAAACCACTAAGAATACTGCATAACCAGTCCACACGAAAAAAGTATATGCATAATGATTCTTTGCTTCGATAAGTGCTGCTCTATCGTACATAGCAATTTGCCCTGGAAAATAGGAATCCTGTTTACGAAATATTGATTTGACAAAGTTTCTTACATTCTGCCAACCGCTCGATGGCAAATTCCATTGTCAACGAACACAAAGCAGTGGATGCCCCAAGGAGAAGTAAGTAGAACCAATCATCTGATATGGGTCGGAACACCCGCTCAACCAGCTCTGAAAAGTAATGAAGAATAAGCGACGCGTGAGGAGCATAAATGAATGCAGATGGAATGATGGCAGCAGTTGCACATTTGTTTCTAAGTTATCCAAGTCTTTGTTTGAGCAATAACAAAAAAATAATTTCAGTTAGTGTTACAATGTTTAGGCACGGAATTAATATGTAACATCACTCTTAAAGGCAGTGTCCCACCAATGTTGAAGTCGCGGGGATCTTTACATATTCTACTATAGGGACCTCTAGATAGGCCATTGCAACAAGTCCCACTCAATTTGACCCCCTCCACGCTGAGAAAAATTCGCTCAAAGTAATACGCGGAGAGCGACTTGGTACGCGCGGACGACTCCTTCGGTCTCCCCCCTTACGCGTTTGAACATGTCCCTCCACTTGGCATCCACCTCCCCTCTGTTGCTGCCACTGTGGCTGGGGCTGAAGTTGGAAGGTACAACTCGTCCACCTTGCTTCCGCGGGGCCTCCAGAAAACGGGGTTTTTGGGAACTTCGTGCGATTTTAAGCCCATACAGTGCTAGACAGGGTCCGACAGGCTTGCAAAATGCAAAAATTTCGGCAACTAAATTTTGGTGAGACACTGCCTTTAAAAGAAACCATTGATTTCTTCCATCAAATCTTTGAGTATAATACGCGCCGTAAAAATTGAAGGAGGGTCAATGGAGGCATGAGGGCAAGTAGAACCTCATATACTAACTGAGATTACGATACACACCAGACATATTGCTTACATCATTAATTTGCAAGAGTAGGCAAAGTTCATGGCAACAGCTGATATACTAACAGGCAGAACCCATGCATATTTCCCAAAATCACTCAATCATTTGCGTCGTCTAAAAAAGATGATGTTTATTAATAACGTGTAACGCTATTAATAAACATCTTTGATGGAAGATGTAAGTGATTGAGTGATTCATCTTCCATGAAAGATAGTGTTTATTAATAACGTGTAACGATAGTACAGGTGAAGTAAGGTGTGAAAAACTCATATAACCTTCGAACCATCTAAGATTAGACTATAACCAGGGTCGAGCAAGAGGTGTGGCACACAGGCGCCGGTTACACCCCTCCCCCCTTCCTAGCATTATCGTTTGCCCTGCCTAGGCATGACATAAAGGCTAAACTATGCGTAATTAGGCAGATATTCGTAAATGTCGTGTCAAATAAACCCCATGGGCCAAGTTTTAGCGAATTCTGAGGGTTCCCAATACCATTCAAGTGAAGTGGTCATTTTCAAACATCTCAACTCTATTTCAAAAGTGAATTAGCTAACTCATTTTGTAGTAGCACTACTTCTTTTTACCCAGACCATAAATCCTGCTTCAAATAATCACCAAACTATCAAAGCAAAGCAGGTCCAGTTCTCGTTGTCCCATTTTTCGCTTTCAATGGCTGCGCTTTCACCAGCTATTATTCAGAGCGAAGAAGATGAATCAGGCCTAAATTACTCCTATGAAAAGTGTAAGACTCATGCTATTGAAATATATGTATTTTGTTTGCTAGAATTCTTTTTTGGAGTAAGTTAATGGAGTGTTGTCGCAACAGCTTTTTAGGGGTTGTGCCACACCCCATTAACTTACTTTTAAACCTCCTTCTCCAGATAGCAAGAATTTTATTTAAAATTGTTTTTCTTAGAGAAAGATATAGTCGTTTTTCCTTAGCTATGCAAATGGAAAACCCTGCAAAAATATTGAATTACGGTAGTATGCTAAGTATGAGGTACTATGTATATCGCAAGGGAAGGAGCAAGATTAAGTAAATTGGATAGCGTGATCTTCGTCACTTTCACAGAACTGTTTTGAGCCTGATTGGTCTTCTCTGAAAGCGGAAAATGGGACAAACAAGATTTTGGCTTGCCCTTAATTTCAGAGTTCGGGTGTTGTTTGAAGTGGGATCCCTAATGTAAGCAAAAAGTAGTATTATTTTGTAATGAGTGCAAAAAGAAGTAGTTCATTCACCTTTGAACCAAAGTTAACACGTTCGAAGATGACCACCTATTTTAGTGTCTCAATATTCGGAAACCACGAAATTCGCTGAAACTTGGTCCACAGGGATATTTGACATGCTGATTATGAAAATGATGCTCTTATGTTTTTCGGGTTCTTTTGTTATGCTTACTGTATATGTACAACGCTAGGCCAAAACACCAGTGCTAGTAAACTGCACAATGGGCCTATCAGAAATTGTTGACTGGCATCATGTCGCTAACATGACTATCACCTCGCTAACGATCCCCCCCCCCCCCTCTTCATGACCCCCTTCTACGACCCCCCCCCTGGTGTGGAGTGCCACTCCCCACGCTTGACTCTGATTATAACTTGTTCTGCAAGCATTGACGTGACAAGGGCTTTGCCTGCGAATAAGCTTGAAGCAGGACTTGCGCAGCGCTGTGTAGAGTTTAGAGCTTTTCAAGTGCCTTGCAAGAAGTTGAGATACGAAAATGAGATCGCCCATATCCTTGGCTTAATTTACCATCAATTTACTTTTTTTGAGATTCCATTTATTTTTACATACGTAGCTGTGCTAAAACTGCCTCAAATTTTGAACAAATATAGTTGAGCAAAAGTTGGCGAGCTCTATCTCACTAAAGCAGGAGCAAATAATAGATCTTACTTCATCCATAAACTCCGTGAGATAAAGATTTCAAATGACTGAGCTCGAAAATTACTAGCTTTTTCGTCGGCTGCGAAATTGCTGGAGTGCACATTATGTGGATTACTTCCTTTCGAACTTATTTTTATTTCTAATCAAGAAAGTGGGAAGTATTTCAATCTTTCCTCTAATGACATGAAATTATATAAACATATGATCTGCTAATGCAAAGCATAATTAGGCACAAAAAAGCATGAAGATTTCTAGAAAGGACGAAAAAATTGCAGAAAGGATGGTCATGGAAAAAGAGCGGGTTTGAGATCCAAGTAAAACATGCATCCATTCTGCAAATATAGTGATCAAGCATCATTACTTTAGGTTGATGCATAACTCCTGCACCAAAATAGGTAGAGACCGCAGTAATACATGTTTCTTCTATATCCTAAATGATTCCTGATATAGCTTTCTACAGAGCAAGCTACAGCTAGCTCTACAAGATAGTGCTCAAGTTTTGCAGCAACTTGGTCTAAGCAAAGATTGAAGCCAAAAACGAAAAAAGTGCTCAAGTTTTGCAGCAACTTGGTCTAAGCAAAGATTGAGGCCAAAAACGAAAAAGTAGCGCCACAAAAAACCAAAAGATTTGAAGTCCGCTCAAAAAATCCTCTCTTAAATCTAACTTGCTCATGCATTGAAATTTTGTATAAAATATTTCTTTATGCACTTGCTGTATTTTTCTATCAGCTCAAAATTGAGGAAGCGAAGTTTTCGTCTTTTTCAGAAAACGCCGAGATGTTCTAGCATCGACTTTTGCATACTACAGGACTTAATTTCCAGTTTTTTACAACAGCTGATTTACGAGAAATAATGAACCTTCGAGACAAGAAAAATTCGGATAAGGGGTGCTATGTCGATTTCTCTCGTAAACTAGCTCTTCTGGAAGGCTGAGAACATAGGGTTTTACTGTTGAAGGCGTATAATATACAATTGTTAAGCTAGAACATCTCAGCATCGATTTGGCAAAAACATGAAAACTTCGTTTTATCAACGTTAACCTGAGAAAAATTACAGCAACTGCAGTGATAAATGTCTTACATGGAACGCCTACGCTTGAGCAAGCAAGAGCTTTTGTAGAGTTCTAAAACAGAGTTGCAATATTGTTTCGATTTGGCTTAAAGGCAGCTTCCGGGCAAAATTTCGCCTCCCATGTTTTTGTTGTTCTAGGGCCTTTCCATGGCCCTGGTTACAGTTATAAAGTTCAAATTGTCCAAAACCCTCAGGAAACCCGATTCCTGGGGACCCTGTTTTCAGGGCGCGGACGAGTTTCGGATTGTTTATCTCCCCGGCTCGCCACCAAGGAGGAGCTGCAACTGCATGGGTGCAGTTGCAATCCATGATCGATCGATGCGTGAGCACTTGTCCTCAGAGGTGGTTTGTGATAAGAGGGGCGGTTTGTGATACGCATCACAGGCCCGCATCTCCTTTCAGAGGCCACCTCAAAGATCGGACCAACGCTGATCGGGTACTCATGGGTCCCGCTTTACAACTACGTGTCATCTGGGTAGGTAGATCTTGCCCGGACGCTGCCTTTAAGGTTTTGGAGCGCATGGATTTTTTCAGTTTTCGGCTTGAAACCTCGCGTAAATCGCAGCTGATGTAGAGATTCGAGTACCTTCTTGTAGAGTTAGGGCTCTATCTAATGATTTACCAAATCCTATTTAGGTTATAGGATTCCGGGTTATTGCGGCCTGTAATTGTTTTGGTACAGGAATTATGCATCAACCTGATACTTTTCTCCCTGACTCGACTAAATGTTTTATTTTGCATGATATTAAGGATTAACCTAACAACATGACTTGATATAAAATTACGGTGATGATACCCCTGAATAAAGCTACAGTTTCGGTATGCCAGGTAGTCAAGTTACCGGTGCAAGATGATATGAATTGAAAACGATGTTGCATTGCACAGCTTCACATAAATGATAGTAAGATCACAGAGGTCTCAAGTCAAATATGGCTCTATGCTTCCACTATATTTGCCTTTGGGACGTTTGCTTTTGCGAACGTGCAAATTTGTTGCGTCGCTCTTGCAAGGAAATGAGACTGATGAGATCAGCATCCGCTTGAAATTAGACTTTTTTATGGACTTGGAGACAAAACACCAAAATGCGAGTGCAAACATTTGGGTGCTAAGGTAGTATCACGTGTTGTTTGACGTTCACCTGTTTAAGATGATGAACGTAAATTGGAGACAATGTGGTTGAATCTTGCAAGGAATGGTACATTTTAGATTGGTGCAAAATAATGCGTGTTTTTAGGCCCTTTTTCGAAGAACCTTTTTCTAACAAATTTTCATTTTGCGGAAGAAATTTCGCAGACCATTCAAAAACTTGGTT